ACTTCACGTCACCACCGCTAAGCTAAAGGCGGCTAATGTTGGGCTATAAAGGAACTACAGCACGGTCACATGACTTCACGTCACCACCGCTAAGCTAAAGGTGGCTAATGTTGGGCTATAAAGGAACTACAGCACGGTCACATGACTTCACGTGACCACCGCTAAGCTAAAGGAGGCTAATGTTGGGCTATAAAGGAACTACAGCACGGTCACATGACTTCACGTCACCACCGCTAAGCTAAAGGCGGCTAATGTTGGGCTATAAAGGAACTACAGCGCGGTCACATGACTTTACGTCACCACCGCTAAGCTAAAGGTGGCTAATATTGGGCTCTAAAGGAACTACAGCACGGTCACATGACTTCACCACCGCTAAGCTAAAGGTGGCTAATGTTGGGCGTGCTGTAGGGGTGCATACCGGTTCCCGGTATTACCGAAATACCGGTTACTGGCGGCTACGGTATACCGTACCCAAATCATATCCGGTTTTCGATACTTTTTTAAAATTTTGATTTTGATTTTTATAAAAGTGAGGCGTAATATCCTTAAACTCACGTCCAAACCATCGGAATTACGATGTCAATTTCGCTGTGAAACTCCGCAAATGAGTCACTTTAGAAAATCTAAAGTGTGGCTGCATATGACTGCCAGTCTGAATGGTGGGGTCTGTAACCACTGCCAGTCTGAATGGTGGGGTCTGTAACCACTGCAAGACGTTTATTTGTGGGAAAGGTGGCAACCTCCAACCTCCAACCAATGCTGTCTCGTATGGCAATAGTACCTTTGTGTTCAGGGAAGTGCCAAGCGAGAGAGTGTTCAGTTCAGCAGGTGAGACCCTACGCTGTGAAAGGGCCCGTTTGGATCCAGAGAGAGCAGATATGCTCATCTGCACAAAACTGAACTGTGATGGGATTAGTTTTCTTTCATCAGGCAAATGTTGATTTGAATGAAGCTATTTGTTTTATGTGCAATGCAGAGATCTCATGATCCTTTATGTGTTCTCTGGTCAGTCGAATCTCAGGTTGAATATTGATTATACTGGTGCTGTTTTCTTTTTCCATTGACAAGATGTGCTATTCCCGCCTGATGGTTGATATAAATGATATTGCAGAATCAGTTTTCTTCATAGATAATGTGTTTTTCATTGTTTGTTCAGTACTAAAAGGTCCAAGTCCCACAATTGAATTTAATATTCATTTGACACGTTAACTACATCATAAAGCGCTTCATGGGAGTAATTGCAGGATGATTCAATTGTTCCCTTATGCAACATGAAAGTATCACGATATGTATCTGTTGAGTATCGGTATCGTTCAGTGGTCGGTATCGGTATCGTAAAAAAGTCAACGATATGCAACCCTAGCGTGATGATGTTTAGTCGTCTCATTTAGACGGCCTTTTTGAATCCACCAGTGGGGTATTTACTGACGTATTTTATGTTGTAGAACAAAACATTAAAGTCTCTTCAGCTTGTGTTAACCACGGACCTTAAACACATTCAGAAAACCATTAAAGAGAGAAAAACCCTAAAATGCTGACTCATTCCTAACTCTCTATTATACATAACTCTGCTTTAGATGCAGCCATCACACCGGTATTCTTTAAGACTCTGAGCCCAGAGGGCTAGTTACTGACGGCATGTTTATTCTGTCATTGTGTCAGTGTTGGTGTGTGTGTGTGTGTGTGTGTGTGTGTGTGTGTGTGTGTGTGTGTGTGTGTGTGTGTGTGTGTGTGTGTGTGTGTGTGTGTGTGTGTGTGTGTGTGTGTGTGTGTGTGTGTGTGTGTGTGTGTGTGTGTGTGTGTGTGTATGGGATTTCAGCAGCTCCTCTCCAGAGACTTGTATTATTTCAGGGGATAAAAGGAAATATTCCTTTAGTGAGATGAGAGGAAGACTTCATAACAAGCTGTCGCACTTCCAGGGAGTATGCAGCGCGCACACATGAACTCAATGTCCTTTTTTGAGAAAGACCAGCGTCAGGAGTGGCCACAACAGGATGTGGGCCAGGGGACGCATTTAAAGGATGCACCGCATGCTCCCGATGACCCTCTGCAGAGCCACGACTTCTCAAAGTGTTTTTCTGAGTTCCTGCTGTTCCGATCTGAGAGGGATGGGAACAAGAAGGAGATAGAAGGAGACTGAAATGGGGGAGGGAAGTTCAGGTTCCAGGTGGGATTAACTCTGAGTTGGTGGGTTTCTTCAGTCCCTTATGAGCCGAGCTGTTATTGTTTGGTCTTATCAGATCACTTCTGAACATAGTCAGCTCTTCCTCTGCCAGAGAAAACAGGAAAATACTTCATTCATCCAGAAGCAGCAAGCACCAGGGTTTAATGTGGGTTTAATCCACCGTAAAACATCTCCGGTGTTAGGGTCATGGTAATGTTCCATTTCTGCAGCGGTGGAAGAAGTACTAACATATAGTAGGAAATCTAATCCAAACGAAAACACCTCCCAGGTAACAAATAACTTAATAATTGGTTAAAAAATACCCTTAGCTCCAACAGGAGTCAATACATGCATATATGCGCAATATATCGCAATATATCGTAATATATCGTATCGCAATACTTAGCATATCGTAGATTCGCAATACTATCGTATCGTGGCTTAAAGGGGACCTATCATGCTATATTTGAATAATATAGTGTAGGACCATACCTATATAAGGCATATTTATACTTTAAAATACCAAACAGATCATGCATTTTAGCCATGCCTCATTTCGCTCAATTTGAAAAATGTTAGCTCTGTTTTTGCAAGGGTTGATTCAGTGAGCAACAGCACCATCTACAGGCCTGGCATATGTACTACAGCGTCTCCAGCGCTTTGGAACGGCAATGGCCGTGGCTGTCTCCTCCTGATTGGTGGAGTTGGCCCAATAGCCGTAGCGCCACCGTCCTGACGTCAGGACAGTGTTCAAATCTGGATCAGTTTTTATCAGATCCGTTGCAGCCCCTTTTTTAGAGATTTGGGTATGGAGGAAAATAGAGAGGGTTGTGTTTTCTGACACTTGGTGAGTTCCCTGGAACACCGGGGACACATATTCATGTAGAAAAGACATGCAAAGGTGCATTTTGCATGATAGGTCCCCTTTAAGTATCACGATAGTATCGTGGGAGGCAGGTGATTCCCACCCCTAGTCTGTAAGCTTGTTTAACACTTTTTAATACGGCTACATAATTAGAGAGCAAACAGCTTTTTAGACGGTCATTATTCAGATCATAAGAACCACTCGGGACAGAGTAGCGTTTCTTCAGATTTCCTCCTACGTGTTTTACAGTGAGAGTGTTTTACGTGCTTTGTTCATATTCTGTTTCCTTCCTGATGGTGATGAATAAGTGAGAGGAGGAAGCCTGAGGCGGCATGCATGCTAGACTCTGCTCAGAGAGTAAATGAAGTAGAAACAAGTCTCAGGTTCTCCTTCAGGTCAGCGTGATGTTGGAGTGGTGATGCAGAAGTGGTTTGCAGTCTGCGGTCAGAGTCCTGTTGTGGACCCCAAAGGTTTATGATATAAATGTATAGTAATAAGCATGAATGAGTATGCAGACTATAACAAAAAAATGGCTTGGTCGATTTGGAAAATGTTGTTGTGTTTTTTGAGGATGCTGATTAAATTCCATAATAGGGTCCTCAAAATCGACCCAAAGTTCATCAAAATCGACCCAAAGTTCATCAAAATCGACCCAAAGTTCATCAAAATCGACCCAACAGGAGTGCAAATATTGACCCTTTCTGATATTCTTGTCAGTATTGGAGTGGGTTTGGGGTTTTTTGGGGGGTTATTGAGGATGTTGAATCCATTTCTGACATTTTGGGCATCAGAAATGTAAGTTTTAACCAGAAAGGGGCAACATTTGTGCTCTCGGTGGGTCGATTTTGATGAACGTTGGGTCAATTTTGAAGTTTTAGGAGACCCTTTTATGATTATTAATGCTAATTAATGAAACTTATGCCAATTGTACTAATTGCCGAACATATGCAGGTTAGCATCCGGCAGTTTCTATGTACTGGGGACCCTACTATATATATTCTGACATTTACTGGATCAAGAATGTAAGTTTTAACCAGTAAGGGGCAATATTTGTACTCCAGGTGGGCTATTTTGATGAACTTTCGGTAGATTTGAAAGTTTTAGGGGACCCTTTTAATGGAATTGATTCAGCATCCTCAAAAAAACTCTCCAAAATGGTCCAAATTGGCCGTTTTTTTGTTATTGTCTTCATATGCTAATTAGTGCACCTGATGCAAATTGCCCAACATTTTTAGTTCAGTTTCTACGTGCTCGAGACCCTACTATACATTTCTAACTCAACAGTTCCAGGTTGGACAGTATTGGAGTGGTTATTGAGGATGTTGAATCCATTTCTGACATTTTGGGCATCAGAAATGTAAGTTTTAACCAGAAAGGGGCAATATGTGTGCTCTCGGTGGGTCGATTTTGATGAACTTTGGGTCGATTTTGACGTTTTAGGAGACCCTGTTAGTGGAATTGATTCAGCATCCTTAAAAAAAAACACCAAAATGGTCCAAATCGGCAGTTTGTTTAGCTATTGTCTGCATATACTAATTAGTGCAACTTATGCCAAATGGTTAGCATTCATCAGTTTCTATGTGCTGGAGACCCTACTGTACATTCCTAACAGGTCCAGGTTCACAACAGGACTCTTTGAGCTGCAACGAGACTCATATATCACTTTCACCACATCATTAGCACTCAGTGAATCAGAGGAAAAGGATTGTTTCTGAATTTAGAAAGAAAAGAAGTCCTGGAATTCTTCAACATCACCAGTCATGTGATCGACCGGAGGCTCGGGGTGACCTTCTTATAAAGAGTCTGAACATTCAACTCATGAGTACACTTCATTATCCCCTCTCATTTAAACTAAATCAGCTTAACAAGTACAATACACACACACACACACACACACATAGATTCCATAATTGATAAAGAAGGATATTAAACGAGGTTTAATCTAAAGGGTTCTTTATTGTTTCAGAGTGGCTTTGGAGCGAGTGTTTTAGAGAGGAGGCTCTGCCGTCTGATGATTGTTTCTCTGAGAGACCGGCGTCCGTCTTCACAGCAGGTTGGTTTGCTTTTCTTTATTTTTAATGCTGATTATTCAAATATCTGCTCTAAATCATGGACCATAATGCCCTCTATTACCTACTGTTCTTATAGAAACTAAAGCACATAAGACTTGGTATGTTTTTTTGCATACATCATGAAGAAATACTGATACCATAAGGTTGTAATGGTTTTAATGGTTTTCACACAACTTAATAATACACAAACATCCCAGATAACAAATGACAAACAGTGCAGAAAGAGGCTTATTAAGTCTTATTTAAAGCCTCTACCTCAATCATTGTATATAAAACACAGGATCAATATACCAACAGTTGCTTTTATTCAATACAAATTGCAAACTTTAAGAACAACATGTACTATACTTAACATTTGAACAAATAACAATATGAAAAACATGCATCATACAGCGCTCATCATACAGCGCTCATCATACAGCGCTCATCATACAGTGCTCATCATACAGCGCTCATCATACAGCACTCATCATACAGCGCTCATCATACAGTGCTCATCATACAGCGCATCATACAGCGCTCATCATACAGCGCTCATCATACAGTGCTCATCATACAGCGCTCATCATACAGTGCTCATCATACAGCGCATCATACAGCGCTCATCATACAGCGCTCATCATACAGCGCTCATCATACAGCGCTCATCATACAGTGCTCATCATACAGCGCATCATACAGCGCTCATCATACAGCGCTCATCATACAGTGCTCATCATACAGTGCTCATCATACAGCGCTCATCATACAGTGCTCATCATACAGCGCTCATCATACAGTGCTCATCATACAGCGCATCATACAGCGCTCATCATACAGCGCTCATCATACAGCGCTCATCATACAGTGCTCATCATACAGCGCATCATACAGCGCTCATCATACAGCGCTCATCATACAGTGCTCATCATACAGCGCTCATCATACAGCGCATCATCATACAGCGCTCATCATACAGCGCTCATCATACAGCGCTCATCATACAGCGCATCATCATACAGCGCATCATACAGCGCTCATCATACAGCGCTCATCATACAGCGCTCATCATACAGCGCTCATCATACAGCGCTCATCATACAGCGCTCATCATACAGTGCTCATCATACAGCGCATCATACAGCGCTCATCATACAGCGCTCATCATACAGCGCTCATCATACAGCGCTCATCATACAGCGCTCATCATACAGCGCATCATACAGCGCTCATCATACAGTGCTCATCATACAGTGCATCATACAGTGCTCATCATACAGCGCATCATACAGGTTGGTTCACCTCTCCTCATTTTTTATGCTGATTATTCAAATATCTGCTCTAAATCATGGACCGACACGCTTATCTAGTCCCTTTTATTACCTACTGTTCTTATAGCAACTACAGCACATGTTCTCCAAATACCAAAAGACTTGGTATGTTTCTTTTCATATGGGTAATCAGAAATACTGATATCATAAGGCAGGGGTCAAATTTCTGTCAAATTCAAACATTTCTGAACCCAAACATCCCAGATAACAAATGACAAACAATTCAGGAAGGGGCGAAAAAAAACATTGAGTTTATTTAAAGCTTCTACCTAATGTTAAAAATCACAATTTGATATAAAACCCAACATAAATCCTCCATAAATCAGTCAGAATAATCACAATTAGTATATATTTTTTTATCGGGCAGCCCTTATAGGTAGGGTATCAAAAAATGTATATTTTTGCCAAAGCACACTAAGAAGAAGAGCCTAATTTTTGCACACTTTGATCCAAATATAGGCTTACTCAACTATTGAAACTACTGAAAGTACTTAATAAAGTCAAAGAAACGGGGTTAATTACTATGGAAACAGGTAGAAATGTGTTTTGCACCCTGAACATTGAAGTGAGGTTACATAAAAACCTGAAGTTAAACACACGTCTGCACACTGACATTATAGATAGTGCGTCTCCTGTAATTGTGCGTTCCTGTGGCACAGTGTGAGTGTGAGTGTGAGTGTGAGTGTGAGTGTGAGTGTGAGTGTGAGTGTGAGTGTGAGTGTGAGTGTGAGATGGTGAAGGAGCACAGAAAGTGTCTCCAGCAGCAGATTGAACACCTGAAGGCGTCCAGAAACTTCTAGAAAGTTCTCTCTGATCAGATCCTGAGACGAGCCTCGACTCGAGCTCATTATCCTTCAAAATGCTGGAGAAAACCTGCATGTTTTTACAGTTTGATGACAACGCTGTTTATGAATAGGAGCCTTTCATCTCCAAATGCATGGTTTTTGCTTTCCATCTTGAATCCGGATATTAAGTCACGATGGGAAATCACTCGGTTGTCCACTTTGCTCCAATCACTAAGTTATATTTAGAAGACTTTGTATTGAGTTTATCGACAAACACTTAAGGACACTACTTAGGGTCATTTGTTGATTTGCCTTTAATGACTTCACTGCTGTCAAACAATTGAGATGCAAATTGAACGCTTTTTGTTGAGTTGCCTCTTCTAAGCAGAGATGCAACGTACTACATGGAAAGGGCTTTTTATTTTATTTTGAAAGGTCAGACCAGAAGGAGTGAAGCTGTTGAAGTCGATGTGTGCACGTTTTTTAAAGAGTATTTCTTACAGTCTGGGTGGTTTCTAGCTGCTCTGATGTTAAAGGAAATGTTAAATCACAAAGTGTAAAGATGAAGTGTATATCATAGAGACATAAACATGTTTTGTGAAAGGCTTCGTCATCCTGTGATCTGTATTTGTTTTCTATGAGCAACATTTTTCTTAAATAACCAATTTGTTTTTTAAAAATCACAATTTATGTCTTAAATTGTATTTTTTTTTTTTAAATGACCCTTAACTTACAGAAATTACTTAATTATTTGAAACATGTCCTCTCTCTCCTTTTATCCCCTATGACTTCATGTTAAAAGCACATTTTGAAAAATGCCAGATTTTTGGGAAAAATCAAAACATTTTTGAAAAATTACATTTTTTTTGAAAAATCACCAACAAATTGCATTAAATAATAAATGCGTTAACTTAAAACAATACCTAATTTTGAAAAAAAAATCCCAATTTTTTTTCTTAAATTACTTTTATGTTTTAAAAAATGACTTATCGGAAAATAACCTTATTTTCAAAATCTTACATATTTTTGAAAAAGGCCTGAATTCAGAAATACCACATTTTCCGCATTAATTACTTCGTTTTTGGAAAATGCCTTAAGTTAAAAACAATACTTAATTTTGGAAAAATAACTATTTTTGTCTTAAATTACTTTAATGTTCAAGCAAAGTATCCAAACCCTCTGTCTCTGAATGGTTCGTGCAGTGGAAGAGGTGCGTGTGTGTGTGTGTGTGTGTGTGTGTGTGTGTGTGTGTGTGTGTGTGTGTGTGTGTGTGTGTGTGTGTGTGTGTGTGTGTGTGTGTGTGTGTGTGTGTGTGTGTGTGTGTTGACTGTAAAGTGGTGCCTTCCCTGCTGTTATAGAAATGCAGAAACAATGGATAATGGTTGTAGGCCTTGTTTCCCCTCAGAGGCACCGCAGGGGGTCAGAGAGGCTCTGATTGGATGTGACAGGACACATCGTGACGCTGAATATTATGTGATAAAACATTTTAACTGTTTCTTTATAACAAGGGGTCACAACATGTATAAGGTCTCAAATCCCCAAAATTCAATACACAAAATGTATATAAATCAAATCAATAATAACACTGAGAACGTAAATAACACAGGTTTAACAGAAATAAAATAAAAGATGGGTTATATATATATATAAGGTCTTCCTACATATTACAATAATACAGTCCAATATACTTAGGGAACATATCAATATACCAGAACATTCCTCACTTTAAAGAAGTCATATTACATTATGTTGGGGTGTCACACAGTCCAGTCCCTTATTATGCAGCCTTTATAATCCTTCCATTATTATCCCAGTTTCCTCCTATTACCTCCATCTGTCTTTAAACGTTCCCTCTGTAATCCTAGCATATACGTCATTTATTCCATTATATACATATTTCGTAGAATTGTCAGCCATTCAGCATTTTATTGAAATGGTTTTCTTCGCCGCTTGTTAGTAATATTTGTAAGATGTACATATTTTTCCTACTCTGGTTTCATCCCAACAATTGCTATTAGATAAAACAAGACAAGATAAAGTAAGATTAGATAAAGTAAGATTAGATAAGGTAAGATTAGATAAGGTAAGATTAGATAAAGTAAGATTAGATAAGTAAGATTAGATAAGTAAGATTAGATAAGTAAGATTAGGTAAGTAAGATTAGATAAAGTAAGATTAGATAAGGTAAGATTAGGTAAGTAAGATTAGATAAAGTAAGATTAGATAAAGTAAGATTAGGTAAGTAAGATTAGATAAAGTAAAATTAGATAAGGTAAAACTAGATTAGGTAAGTAAGATTAGGTAAAGTAAGATTAGGTAAGTAAGATTAGATAAAGTAAGATTAGATAAAGTAAGATTAGGTAAAGTAAGATTAGGTAAGTAAGATTAGATAAAGTAAGATTAGATAAGGTAAAATTAGATTAGATAAGGTAAAACTAGATTAGGTAAGTAAGATTAGGTAAGTAAGATTAGATAAAGTAAGATTAGATAAAGTAAAATTAGGTAAGTAAGATTAGGTAAGTAAGATTAGATAAAGTAAGATTAGGTAAGTAAGACTAGATAAGGTAAGATTAGATAAGGTAAGATTAGATAAGGTAAGACTAGATAAGGTAAGACTAGATAAGGTAAGACTAGATAAGGTAAGATTAGATAAGGTAAAGTAAGATTAGATAAGGTAAGATTAGATAAGGTAAAACTAGATAAGGTAAGACTAGATAAGAAGTACTTTACTGATTGAAAGTTGGGACATGTTTGTGTTGCAGCTTCCTCCTCAGAGGATAAAGAAGTTCTGCTCACAGTCTCTCTATATATTCATGAGAGGAAACAGCTGCTCCTCCATCCCATCATTAAACCATTAAACCCTCTCAACTCAAAGGTTTTATTGTC